GGGGACAGATTATTATAAAAATTAGACACCCGGCGTAATTTGTATTACAAAATAAATAAAAATAAAAATGTTTATGTTTTCGAAAATCATCACAAGTTCATTAATTTTATTTTGTTATTAATATTTTTGGGAAAAGGGGAAGGGGGACACCCCTTTTTCGAGCATAAGAAACATTTCTGCGGCTGATAGCAGCAACATTAGCCATAAAAATATAGCTTTTCCATTTTTAGGTAAGAATTAATTTTTAAACCTACATCAACAGTCTTGTATTCAGTCAGTTTAATTATAGTACATAAGATAACATTTACATAATAATGTAGGATATGCTTTACATAACACGCTTAGAATGTCCGGGCATTTATCTAAACATACAATGCTGAATTATGAATCATTTCCTATTTAAATTAAACCAGTGTAGGTTAAATTATTAATAATTAATAATGACTATAGTTCATCATAACTTCTAAGAAAACGTTTCAGTCTTTAATAATAATAAAAATATTATTTTCTCTTTTTTCTTTTCGTACATTATTTATTACATATTATATATTATATTATCGTCCTCTTTTTATAAAAAAAATACGTATATCTGATACGCAAACGAAGTTACACGGATAATGTCCTTCATCCGAAATTATGAAGTGCAAGTTCAATAGTATATTATTTTTATATGTTTAAATCTTACAACATATTCTGACCTATCGGCGCAAGCGTAGGGTGTGAATAAATTCTTTGAATCGTGTCGCGTACAATACGCATATTGTCACGTTCCAGGCTAGTGTGGCAGTGGCCTCAAAATTGAAGTATACCCACGGCTAAGGATACCAAATATTTGTTACTATCTTTTAATTTAATATACCAGGCCCTGCCCTATATAGGGATTTATACACTTAATAGTGCCTCAAGTTTGCTCCACTTATATATTTATTTCATCTTCATTTCTTAACAACATGTATTCTTTAAAATATTGAGTTTGGAAGGTTAAACTTCATCTGCATCACCTTGATGGCTGGAAGTCTTCCACTGTCCGCCTCACAAGACATTTTCTTTTGCGAACTAGCGAACTGTGGAATCAACTCCCTCTGGGGGCCTTCCCTGGGACATAGAAACTACAATTGTTTAAAAATCAGTATACTTCTCCCTCTATAACCGGCAACTAACCCACTAAAATAAGTGTCCATGGGCTGCCGATGAATGCCCTTTTGGCCCTATAAACAAAAAGGTGTAGACGTTTTGATCACCTACATTTTTCACAACAGTAAAACAGAGGAAGGAAAATGTTTTCTGATAGGTATGGAAATAATTTAATAGCGATGATACAAAACTTTATTTATTCTCACGATTCTGTATTTATTTTGTGTTTTTTATAAAGTAAGATGTCAAGTAAGTATAAGGCCTTCAGAGGTGTAAAGTTTTAATTTAGCTTAATGCTATTACGTTTCTCAACTTCCTATTATAAATAACGTTTTGTATGTTAATGATATCATCACTTGGGCGACGTCCAATAGTACCTGTGCGTACTGCGTGATTTGTAAACAAATCTCGCTTCACAAAAAGGGCAACACATGACTTCCGGTTGAAAAAGATGGGGACTCCGAAACTAATAAAGTTTTGAACTAATATGAAAGACTGATTAATAATAATAATAAAAGCCTTTATTGCTGTAAAATCTTATACTAGTACATTCAAATGTGAAATACAAAAAAATTAACACTAAAAATATAAATACTAATAATTAATCGGCAAGCCGGTTGGTTGGTTTTTGTTCTACAGCTTGTTCTTGGACGTAGGCCTCCTCTAAGGGCTTCCACTCATCTCTGTTTCTATTTAGTAAATCTTATCATCATCCTCCCATCTTTTTATTTGTCTTCCTCGTTTTCTTTTGTCATAGCGAGGAAGCCATTCCGTCACTTTCTTCGTCCATTTATCTTTATCTTCTCTCATAATATATCCTGTCCATTTCCATTTCAATCTTTTACGAAAGACTGATTAAGCAAAATAAAATACGTAGAAACTTATATAATCGAATTAAAAAGTGTAACATGATATATATATTAATTAGGTTTCACTGGTTATATTAATAGATGGGCTGAGTTAGTAGGCTATCATAGAATAAATATTTATTTTGTTGATAGAATTTCATTTGATTATTCAATATATCCTTCGAGAGCGATGCAACGATTATAGCGGTCATAAAATTTCGATACCATTTTTATAGTACGATTTGTCTTAAGCCTCAAAATAGGCTTCATCGCAAAATTAGAGTAGCTACCATAAGTTGTGAAGGCTTAGTCACGTCGAACATCATTATATTGCAATTAATAATAATGATTTAAGTCCTTTTACTAGCGATGAATTATTCGGCTGGTTACCGCACGCATTTCCTCTGGTGGTGCTAGTAGCCCAGTACGATCCCAGCGAAAAATCATCCGTATTAATTATAAATTACATATTTATATTGATCTATTCCTTTTTTAAAACACAGTTGTTTGTGGAATTCTATGTAATTTCATTTCAAAGGGAGTTCTATTTTTACCGTTTCCTTCCTTTAGCGTCGGATTAAAAAAAAAAAAAAAAAAACAAAAAAAAAGGGGGGGGGAGGGGGGAAAAAAAAGGGGGGGGGGGGGGGGGGGGGGGGGGGGGGGGGGGGGGGGGGGGGGGGGGGTGGGGGGGGGGGGGGGGGGTGGTTTCCCCAAATGGGGTGTGTGTAAAAAAGGGGAAAAACCCAATTTTTTTTTTTAAAACCCCCCCCGGGGGGGGGGGGTTGTTTTCCCTTTTTTTTTTTTTTCACCGGGGAATTCCCCCCGAAAATTTTTAAAAACAATTGGGGAAAATTCCCAAAAAAAAAACGGGGGGGAAAAAAATTAAAAACAAAAATGGTCTCAAAATATTTTCTGAACAACTTTGATAAAGTGAGAACAGATTTTTCAATTATGTCTTTTTCCAAATATTTATCTTGACCACAAATGATTAAAAGGAATTGTTGCAGTTTTTAGCCATACCCAAATTTTTTGCTACAATAAATCACTCTCTTTCTAAATTGATCAATCTTTAACATTTTTCCTTGCCCATATTGATTTAAACTCACTGCATATGAATCACTAGTTGTTCAGGATAAGAAATGTCAGTTGATCAGACGACAGCGGATATCTTTTGTACATTAATGTTCTCATTCGAGACGTTTGATAATAATAAAAATGATAATTATTTATTTTTATACCCTCTTGATTAAAAGTTCAATGTTATCACCTTTTGGTTTTGTTTCAAAGTTACAGAAACGCAAAAAACGAAAAGTAGAAAAGTGAACATCGCCATATTCATATAGGTAGAACAACAAAAAATGTTTAAAACATTTATTTTTCGTGTAAAATAAATGCGTTCATATTTAACATGAAATTATGTAACAGTTGGTAATTATAAAAATAACCTCGATCATTGTTTAAACAACGTAAATTATCGGCAGTTTCAATATGATACACCTATAAGGTCTACTAATTATAATGAAAACCTGATAATTCAACGGATTACTAAAGGTTAATTGTACGCTACGTTTTTATGAGTATTTTTTTTGTACGAAACAGCAATCTGGAAAGTTATATTTGCAATAGGTATCTACAGTATGGAAGGTAATTAATACGAGACTTGGTAGTTTATAATAAAACAAACATTAGACATAGACATAACATTTATTACACACACAGAAGCACACAAAATAATAATAATCAAAAAAGGAATAAGGTACCATTTAATTGTGTAATATGTTTGCGTTGTGGTAGTAACTGGCCCTGGCTCAGCATTATGCTGTGGAGCAGACGTGTTCCACAGCCCTGTTTTTTCTGTCAGACACCACAACAGTTAGTTTGTGTTTTAGATGCAAAGAAAAAAAAGGGTTAAACGTAAGGTAATAATAATAGTAAAAATTTACAGTGTAAGTAAAGAAGTCTTGGAAGATTTGTGTGTAAAAGTATATAGTAGGTACTAAATACTAAATAAAAAAATAAGAATAATTGTTACTGCTACATTACGAATCTTTTATTATTTTATAAGGAACTAAAAAGTATAAGTAATTTGATCATTGAATAGGAACCGATTTTAAAGGTGTGAAGCTGAAATTCTATATGCGCGAATGTTCGGCCTTGAAACAATCAATTGTCCTATTTGCGCTAACATTGAGCTTAGCCGGTTGTTTTGTAATAGCTAAATGGCACGGAAGTTTCCGTACATCCGACAGGACTACGTTCAAATTTATCTAGTTGATAGTTCTCTGTTTTATCACTTTTGTAGCCATAGTTATGTTGGTGTAGTGAATGATCAGAAATTACTACAATTTCTTACACCTTCCTGAAGATTAGATACCTAAATAATCATAATAAATCCCGTTTATTTCCCATCTTTACAAATACATTTTTTTCTCGTTATTCGATATCCTAAATTCCTTCAGTATCATTGATGGGAACCCCTTCACGGGTAAAGATCTCCTCCAGCTTTTTCCAAATATCTCTATCCATGTTACTCTTTCTCCATTCGGTTCCTGCTAACGCATCTATATCTTCTATCCATTTTATAGGGCGGCCTCTACTTCTTACCCCTTGGTCGTGTCCATATAGTTGTCGTTAAAGTCCACATTTTATCTATGAATCCTGCTATATGCCCCGCCCATTGCCATTTCTGGTTTAGAGCGATTGATGCCTAGAAAAGTATTTAATATTTATCGAAAACCTTTTAAGTAATCTGAAAGCGATGCAATACTGTATGTTGTATATATATTTAAAATAATCGCTGAGAATAAATCAACTATGATCTTTTCAGATATAAATGGATGCCAAAGTCATACAGTCATTTGTTTTTGTGACCAAAATAACCAGTACGAAACGTGATTGTGCGATTGTGTGTTAACTTATCGGATGCAGTGTTCAATTGTGACAAAAGTGAAAAATACAAGTGATTTTAATGTGAAGTCAGGAGAACTAGTGATTAACATATTAGTTTAAAACGTTTATATGGTCAGTATGATGTGGTTTAAACGGGACCCGAAGGTCCCAGAAAAAGTGGAGAATGGTTTGAACAGACTTCGACGTAAGAAACCGTCGGTTCTTAAACCAACTCGCGAGTCGAGCGAGAGAGAAACATCCACGGAAAGTGATAAGGAAAGACGTCGATATTCTGATATATTAGATATGAAAGTGTCTATGGGTATGTATTAATTGCACGCAGGGGTCTCCAGTTCAATATGGTTAGTTTGAGCTGCTCTAAGATTCAATATTAAAAAAATAAAACACCGTTGTTTAATATTTTCCCCACAGTAGTTTCTGTGGTTAACGACAACTTCTATTCTGAAGTGGAGACACCTTGTATATAAATTGGATTATTTTGAGGTTTTAGACGTTCTAATGCCACTAATATATTTGCAAATGTGTAAATTAATAATAAAAAATGTTGAATCATTAACATAGAAGTCTGGTCCAGATATTAATTCGAGTTTCAATGTCATGGTGTCAGCGTGTCTAATGTCTGAATTCGCACCTAGATACATTTTAATCACATGCTTATGATATGATTAATTTGCTAATGAACTGGACGATGAAATATATTAAAATCAAGTATAAATCGACGTATAATTATCAATAAAACTCTTAAAGCCAGTTGCTTGTAGATACACGAATTTATCAATCACGACAATTGATTAAAGTAATTGCGATTAAAGAAGGTTCATCTTACACCGTTATTTAAACGTAAGATGTCTCAAGATATTTTGCTTGTAATTTAGTTTCTCCCAAGCGAAACAGCAGGCACCGTCTGTGCCGCGTCTGTAAAAACTCAGGGTTATTGACCTCTGTTTGAAGTTTAATTGAAATTAAGTTAAAACTTAGTGGACCCTCGGTAAGGTATCAGTAAAAAATTACATTGGACAAATAAAATCTTAGTACCAGTCCGATAAGATTGCAGCTTAATCGAGTATCTAAAGCCGTCAAATATTTAAGGACTTTGATGGCATTTGCAAATTTCACAAATATAAAAGATTATGTAAACACTAAAAATAATATTTGTAAAAAGTTATATATCTCTGTTCACTGGTTCATCTTATCAGTTCTTATCGAGAACGGAACATTAGATAGGATATATTATGTAATTTCAATATTATGAAGATTATTTGAGTAAATAATACAGCATGATTCAAATTAAACTTTTGCATAGCAAAATATAAATAAACAACCGAGGGCCTTCTGAACATAACACCAAATAATTCGCTATTAAGATTGTATTGAATTACTTTTAATAGGACAAAACACTTTATTTTATTATTAAGTGAAAAGCCTTCAAACGAAAACTGTGTTTCGCTGGGCTATTGGAGGTGTATGATTTATAACGATGAAAACAGATTGTAGATAAAAAAAATCTGGAAATACGCAATAAATTTGAGGCTTTGCGTGAGATAATAAAAATATATACGTTTAACCTAATTTACCTACCCTCCTGGGCTGCAATTTAGGTTAATTACTAGTAATTTATGACAGGTATTTAAAAACTAGCAAATTTTATATACCTACCTTGCTTTTAATATAAAAAAATACAACGTTAGAAGGCTTGCATTATTTTAATAAAGGCCTGTCCTAATTTTATATATTTTTCTATTAATCTATTGCAAAATATTATTTTATATCAAAATTTATCAAAATATGTACCCAGTAATGCTTTCTTATTAGAATTTATTGTTTTAGGATTGCTAACGTAATGTGTCCATTCATGCATACAAAGCAATCGATATTAAAGTGATGTTGTAATCGGTCATCTTTCGATGATATTCATTCAGAACGGGTTTAGATACTCGTAATTGGGTTTCGTAATTACTCACTCATTAATATTTAAATACATTACCAAAACTAGAAGAGAAAGCACAGCGCTTTCGCGATTACAAAACTGTTACTTTGCTTACATGGTGAACCTTTTTTGTCGCTAATCTCTAGAAAGCTTATTGTATGTTAATAACGATTTTACAAAGTTTTTAAATAATCTGTTTAAAGTGGGCTAGTTAACACCTAGTTTGTACAATTAACAAATCACTTAAAAACCTCACGAAAAACAATAGAGTTTTTATAATAGGAAGCATTTAATAATTTCGTACAAAATTCTATAATTACAGACTTTGAAAGACATTGCGAGCTATTTATTTTGCATCACACCTACGTGGTTACAATACGTAGAACTCTGTATTTTTACATGACTCAAGTGCAAATTATGTCATCAATAATTATAACGCATTTATAGCATATCTTGTAATCACAATAAGATGGCTTTAGCTTTTTATAAAGCTAATGTTATTCTTCGTGTGATTATTTTATAATGACATAATCACCATCATTTAAAAATCATAATTTTAAATCATGTTATTACACTTTTTGTACTAGTTTGCTTAATGTGATAATAACGTGTATTGTCCTTCAATGCTTTTAATAATGAGTTTAAGCTAAATTTTAAATAAATTTATTTATGGAACTTAGTGGCATATGAACGTCTTAGAAACCTTTCAATTATCTTATGACTGTTAATAATACATAAAATAATACATTCTTAGAACGACGAGATGAAAGCGACGAATCCCTGTACGAATCGGCGGATTGTCAAAGTGACGTCATCTCTGCGAGTGATGACGCACTTCCCAGGCTTGGAAAAACTCCTACAATGAGTAAGGAATCCTTAAAACTGGCCGTCACAGACGAAGAGGGCGAAACCAGAATAAAAAAGGGTCATAGAAAAACAATGTCTCTTTCTAATCCACTAGAAATTGTTAAAACCCTTGGAGATGAATGGTTTGATCATAAAAAGGAAGAGAAAAACTGTGATAGAAAGAAGTCCAGAGAAAGTCTTTGGAGCGAAGAAGATTCTTTACACGGTTCACATATTAAACTGGATAATAGAAAGAACAGTAAGAAAGAAGATAAGAATGAGGCAAAAGATGCTAAGCGAAAAAGTTGTAAAGGTTCTTCTGTATCAAGTTTTAATTTTCTGCGTCGTAAAAAGACTCCAACGTCGATGAAACCCGTTGAAGACGTCGTCGAAGTTGATGGAACTATATCGCCAGATGAAATTCTTAAGACCAAACTATTTTTAGAAGAAGAGAAGAGGTTTGCTTCTATATCTGAAGCGGTACCAGTCGAATCAGATTCTGAAGATGAAGTTCCTACAAAGAAGGTTGAGCACAGGAGAAGATTAAGCCGTCAAACTTCAAGAAGCAAGAGTAAGGTGCGAGGCAAAAGTCAATCTGTAAAAGTAAACACATTGAGGAAGTCCCATAGTGGAACTTTAAAGAAGGCTAAGAAAAAAAGTATAAAGGCGCCTATGAATAGGAGTCGGCAGGCGAGTATAGCAGAACCAAGTCCAATTGTTAAGAAGAAAAATTCGGATACTTCAAAGCCGAATTCGTGGCTCTTCAGTAACAGAGGTAAGTTCAATTTGGGTTATTTTATTTATATATACCGACAGAATATAATCCTACAAATTATTGTTTAGATCGCGCTTGATAACATCCAACCAGAATTTTAAAGAAAATAACTGTTAATTTCACTAAGTAATTAAAAGTGGCTTTTACCGTTTCGAAATTATTTTGTTGAATATTTTTTATATTAATTATTACGCACTGTTTAATATTTACCTGTTAAAAGGTAAAAAAATAATCCGTTAAAAACTCAAGGCGAGCAACGATCAGGGTGATGATTTAAGACATGTTTTGGAGTCTTAACGATGATAATACTGTCTGTTACAAGATTTACACTTTAAACATGATCTCAGAGTTAAGAGTTTATTCTGAACACACAACGAACATAAAGAGTCATTAATTATTTAAAGATAACGTAAATTGCAACAGGAGTATGTATAATATATTTACAGTAGTTAAATCAGTGAATTATTGTTGTTCAACCTACCCAATGCTATTTAACAAAATATGCTTCTTTTTCATATCCGAGGTGGATATGCAATTGCGCATCCCCCAAAACTTGCAGCGGTATGTGTGGGACTCGACACACACCAGAATCTCTGCTATTCAGAGACTGGCTAAGCAATAGCCACAAAACCACCTCGGATAGTTTCTACACCGCCGCGTTAGAGAGGCTTTGGGGTCGCTCTCATATTCTAAAACCTCCGCTGTAGTACACATAGGAGGTAGGAGATGTCTCCTTGCGCATTACTTGCTTACGGAAAGATACCACTGCATTCCATATCCATCACTGCCAACATGTGTTTTTTCGATAACACATGGCAGAGCAAGTTTGTTATGCACTACATAACAAGGATATTAACGGGGCTAGACTAGACCTCAATAGGCCTATCGTATTAGGAACTCGGTAAAAAAATTCAGGTTATGTAGATCTTTTATCGTACGTTAGTTTTAATGTAGTCGATGCCATTGAAACGCCGTAATCCTTAGGGCCTATTGATAAATTATATTTTCTAAACGTAATTGGACGTAAGTTACTTTCGTTAATCTCAGCTTGACCTTATGTACCAGTTCGCCTTGTAGGGCCTATCTCATCCGCGTTTGAGCTGACGTGCGCGCTTAGATATGTAGCTAATGGTATGATTGTCGTAATCTTATTAGAATTTTTTAATGGCCACCTTCTCGTAGATAATTTAATGCGGTCCTTCTTGTCTTCTTTCGTCTACATTATATTCCACTTCATCTACTTCCCAATAAAATAAGATTTTTTTGTGATAGTAATGTAATTTTTGAAAGCAGTGTTGGCCTAGTCGCTCGAACGGTGGAACGGTGAAGGAAAACATCGTGAGGAAACCGACAAGTCTTAGACCCAAAAGTCGACGGCGTGTGACAGGCACTGGAGTCTGATCACTTACTTGTCTATGAGATAGAAAAATGATCAGGAAACAGATTCAGAAATCTGAGGCCCAGACCTAAAAGAGGTTGTAGCGCCACTGATTTATGTTTATTGATGTTATTTTTTAGTTTCTTTCTCTGTTTTAAACAAACAAAGCTTTCGGCTTCGCTAGGTTCAACTAAATTTTAAAAACAATAAAATATTATTAGGTACAGTCAGTAGCAATATAATTTGATCGGATATATTATATTACTAGGTTTTGTGGTTAAACCTTAAAGCCTAATAGAATCGGCACATCAAAAACGAAACAAAGCCATACGTTATAGTCACATTGATATGCTCTCCTACATATCTGTCCTAGATTCCCATTGATATGTCAGAGAAGATGGATCGCTGATGCTAATGCTCTTATATCCAAAGAGTGACCGGGTTTCTCGTTAACTCTTTTTTCTTTGAAATTCTATTTAAACTTTTCCTATGACATTATTTTTGGTGATGTTTTCGAATCCATGATAATATTTATTGCAGTATAAGAATTGTTGCTTGATAGAAACTTGGTTACATACCAAATGGATTAGTTTTTTGATTCAAGCTAAAGTGACATTTTGGCAGTTTATTTGACCGTACATGGAGATATCTCTGTTACTCACATTGTACAGAACAGCTGGATAAATATCATTGTTAAATTGTTGGGTGTTTAACCTGTATTTTATTTAAATCGCCACCTGCATTATCAATTGCGTCAAATAAACGTTAATAAATTTTTAATGCCATCGTGAACATTGATCGTTAATGAACCGTTTCGCGTTGCTTTGAATGTTATGTACGTGGATTTTATTATTGACGAGATTTATATTCAGCGCACGAGTTCTGGCTTAGTCATCGAATTTACTTTGATGATCTTCGATGTTAGAAGAAACGAACTTATTTTAAACTGCTATATTTTTACAAAGGCTGGCAACGCAATCGCGAGCCCTCCGGCCTTGAGTGTCCAGCGTTTGAATGGATAGCGTTTAACATCAGGTGAGCCTCCTGCCCGTTTGCGCCCTGTTATAAATAAAAATAAATACGAATAGTTACAAAGGTAACCCAGAATTATAGTAGGAAGTAATTATAATTTTACTACAGTAGATGTGACTGACTGACCTTTGAATGCAATGCTTAAAAATAATTTGCAGAAGAATAGCACGATTGTCCATATCATTATTCGGAATGGTTAGTGCAGTGACCACAAGCTGTTGAGGTCACCGCATCTGACCTTGTCTCTCGATAAACACACCTTTTGTATTCCATTTTCCTTGTATAATTTGGCTTAAGATATCCACAAATTTGTTTTCTTGATAGCTTGCATCAATTCTAATAATTTGAATGTTGATATTTAGTCATTTATGTCCTGTATTTGTTTTGAGATTCATTCCTTATGCCTATCATTCTGAAGTCTAAATAATCACCAGGGAAGAAGCGGTGACGTGAATCACAAGCAAGGATTGCTATTTATACTCGCTTCCCGTCGCGTGTTGATGAAGCGATGTAGGACTCATGCGCAGCCGAAATGTATGCTTCCGGTGCGCGGTTCTATGCTAACTTGTTTAAGCTGTGTCTGTTGTTTACTTTTAAATTGTCTTGATTATTATTTTAGTGTTTTGTGTGATATTTAGTTATACGACATGGTTGCTTAAAGTGGGCAATTTGTAAATAATTTACGTATACGACTCACATCTCTGGGCTGGTGCTCCCAAATACCAGCTTCTTCCATTTGACCAAATTCAGCGGAGGGCTTGTCGAATTGTCAATCTCCATTGAGTCTCTTTGCGTTTTCTACAAAGTGTACTATGATGAGTGTTCTGAAGAATTGTTTGGGTTGATCCCTCCTGCCTAGTTTCCACACCGTACAAGCCGTATCAATTCAAATTCCATCAAGATCACCTTGATGGCTGGAAGTCTTCCACACTCCGTTTCACAAGGCACAAGTGAACTGTGGAATCGACTCACGGTTGGGGTCTTTCATGAGAGATACGACCTTTATTTTATTTAGAGTGTATCTACTCCTCCCTCAAAGGCCGGCAACGCACCCACTAAAAATATGCTGCATTGACTGCCCTTTTTGGGCGTCCCATAGGCTCGTTTCACCCTTATTATATGTTTGAAAAAAAGTTGATAATTGCTTCTAAGCGGGGACTAGCGTTAGATCAAGCTTGTCACATCCATTTAATGAATAAAGCTGTATTATTACTAAGATCCAAGCTGTATTAACGGCAATCAAAGTTCTCCTATGTTCTGATATCATAACACTAGAGATGAATGTGTAAGATTAAGTTTTTTAAAGAAACTTATTTACGTAATGATCACATAACATTAGGGCAATTATTTCTTCAAAGAAACATACATATGCTCACATAAAATGTTACGCATTTAAAATTTACAATATCAGCGTTACGATCAAGTTATTAATTCGCTGAGATGCGCCTTGTTTCGTCGAATTGATGTCGATCGCCCTGCTTGCGGACTCATATTTATTGCAATTTTATTGTGTCCGAATTAGCGAGATTACGGGTGATAACGGGCTACGTGTTAGGACCTAAATCTATTGTTTTATGTTTGCGAATAGTACCACATTGAAGTAAATTTTTTGCGGTATAAAGGTAAGTGTCTATCCCACACTAAACAACAAAAATAAAACAATTAATATTAAACTGTTAAAAAATTTTAATGCCTGAAGATTTTTTGATATTAGAGTTTTGTAAGTGTCAAGTTGATTACTTGTATGCCGTGAAGTTATAAAGATATGTATTTGAATGTGAAACTTCTGTCTTATATAAGTAAATACTATCGATACAGTAGCAAAAAAAAATCAAACACATTTTCTAGTAAAATGACATGATTGTATTTCAATCGTTGCCATTAAACTAATCGATTGTTTGCCACTCAGGACAATATGGAGCTTGCGTGGTGCGAGTGAACTGTTATCGCGTTTCGCACATTTCATGATGTGCTGCCGTCTTTAGGACGTTGCCCCCCCACCGGGATGTGCTACAAATGTGCTCTTTTTACTTCATAATATGTCAACCCATATACGTCGCCAGTTGTCCGAAAGAAATATTTACTTTACGATTATTTAGAGAGGTCTCATTATACGCCGCCGCTTCGTGCGACAAAGATATACTTAGTGCTTAAAAGATACACTAATTTCATAAATCGTGGACAAATGAAATCCTTAATAAACCCTTATTATAAATATTCGAATTCCTGAAATGAATTATTATACTTGACGTCAATGAGCAAAACACTAAGTTATTGGAGCAAATAAATTTAGGTTACGGCGATGCATTGCAGTGCACTCTGAATATTATGTTTGTAAACACGATTTCCTGTTGAAACAATAACTATATGCTAAACGGGTCCCGCTCATGGGTTATGGTCGTGAAAGACAATGTAGGCGCTTTGTTGACAGTATTAGGCGTTGAATAAAAATACCATTTGGCCATATTTTTAAAAATCTATTTATAAAAATATTAAAATAAAAACACTGTTTATCTTACATATATGGCTCAATCTAAACTATACCACACTGAGAGAAGAAATTTGTTTGTTACACTTTTTTAGTTTAGATGTATACTTTTAGATATAATCTTAGAGATTTCTAATTTGTCTTAGTTTAATAGAAAAATTCAACATTCTGTTGTATATTTCCGCGTTACGTAAGTAAAGGAAAAAGTTGCGCTTATAAACTTTGGGATTTAGTAATATGTATTTGATTAATATAATTCGTGACAAAACAGCAATATGGTTTTGTGATAACAATAAGATCTTCTTCAGAACGAAAAGATAGTTTTAGTTTTCAAAAAGAGATAGTAGAGGGAACTTTTATAACAAACGTAGATAAAGTTTAGTTTAAGTCTTGTGTATAAAATTATACTCAATTGCTTAATAAGAAAATCCATATTTTGCATGTTTATGAAGAATCGAATTAGGGTCGATGACCGAAGCACAGTTGAGGGTGACGCTCGCGTGACTCATCATTTTTGGTGCATCAATTAATGAGCTTTTTTTGCTCCCATGTGACGTAATGGGGAAACCGGTAGAGAAATTGATTTTCCCTCATATTTTTTTATTTATAGGATATTTTAATAAATTTATTCTGGAATTAAATAACAGTTAAAACTGCATATGTTTATGATATATACCAATAAAAAAATGATATTTGCAAAGATTCACAAATGGATATTTTCCTCTCTGACAGCCTGCACTCAGACAATCCTTGAACCATCTTGTAAACAATTAAACAGTTTTTTGTTAATTGTTTCTTACGTTTTGGGATTCACCATAGATCTAGTAAAAAAGTGCTCTTCCTTAAATCAGTTGTTAACTGAATATCGTAACTAATTTTGCATCAATATTAAGATTTATTATCATATAAAAATTCGACCATATAATTAAGGGCGATTCTGAGTAGTTCTTAGTCTCACTTTAGTGAACCAATTTACTAAACTTTACCTTCAACGTTCCATCAATCGATAATAATAGCTTTGAAGTTCAAAAGCAAGTGCATTTGTAACTTGAAGGTTTTCTTAATTCGCGACGCTTAGATCATCGCTATTTATTGTGTGTTTCATTACCGTAACATAAGTGACGATTTGTATACGCGGCTTTAAACATTTTGTTATTTCTTTTCCTCGTCATGATTTCACATTGTTTTTTAGTGTTTTTGACGTAATTTTAATATATGTTAAGAGGAATAATTTGAAATTTATCATATTTAATCCTTTTCCAGTGCAGGCGAAGGGGTTCAATTGGTTACGGTTTTATTACATTCTTTAGAATGTAAACATACTAATTCAACGATAGATGGCGCTGATTGTAATTTAATTAATAAATTCGTAAATTGCGTTATATTTAAGGCTATATATTAATATGTATGGTTGTGTGTTTCCAGGTGAATCAAGGCGTGAAGGCTCGACAGAGGAGCAATCGACTCCCGATATAGACAACGATGCTGGCGAAAGTAACGCCAAAGAAGTACCAGAGAAGGAACACAAGTACGTATTTATGCGCCACATCTGGCTTTCACGTAACCATTAAGCTGTAGAGTTCACGACGACCTTTTGCGAAGTATTAAAACTATTTGAGGTAGTATAGTATCTAAGAACGCTATTGTAAAACCGGACCACAACAGCTATATAAGTTGGTCTGGGTTTAATCTATAATAATTATATTATGTCTTATCCACTATCCCCTTTTTTATGACTAGTTCAGCTCATTCGTTGCTTGATTACACGCCATCTACCGATAAGTTTATTTAAGCGCATTTAGTTGTGAAATGTGGAGTTGGCGCTATTACTTAAAAGATGGCGTTTGCATTCAATAATCGATAAATCTGTCAAAAGTATTGTATTTTAGGTGCTTTTTAAGACTTGCACGGGGTATTAGGTGTACTCAGTTCTGCACCTGTTTTATTGATAATTTTTTTAACCGCGAGTTTGTATTCAACAATGTTACTGAATATATTCACTATTTGCAAACATCCAGCGCCATCTAGTTTGTTACAATGTAACAGGTCATATGTATATATATATATATATATATACATATAGTATCTAAAACTTCGAACAGTTCGCGCAAATAATGTATATGGAAAACAGATAACCTCATATTGTTCGGCGCCTTGTTAATTGTTTTCCCCTCAAATCTCAAAAAAAAACACCCGCAAATTGCATTGTAACTCTTTAGTTTGTAAGAAATTTCAGACACCAAAGTTGTTGGTTTAGTTTATTATTTTCTAAACTAAAAATATAACTTATATTTTCTAATCTTGTTGAATTAGGTTTAAACTGCAGATTATAACAAAATACTTAATAATAAGTATTATATGTTATAGCTGGCGGGGCTCGAGTGCGACATCGCGCGGTGTTAACCGAGCGGAGAGTTGTCGCGAGCGTGACGCGCCTAGACGAGGCAAACATCGCAATGCATCTGATCCTAACCGTCTCACCGCACATCCTAACCAGTGAGTTTTTTTCTTAACAATTTTTATATAATCTATCTGTAATACTTCTATAGTGTATTGACATTGGCGGGAATTTGGGAAGAGCTTTTGTGAATAGGTATTTTTGCAAATATATATTTCGACATTTAATAAAATTTTATTGACATCATTCATGGTAGCATCCGTTAATAGTGACTGGAGTCTCTCACTTTTAGTCAATATTTAATTTTATTGATTTACAATCAAGTATACAGTATTAACAATTTTCTTAACCTATATAAAGTATTAAAAAAAATTATAAAAAAGAAAATCAAAACAAATTTAAAAAGTTGAATCGGAATATAATAATTTGATTTCGTAAAACATTTTAAATTTTATGAAAAATTACAATATACCGTGAAATCTTTATATTAGGATGAGAGAATCATGGGACAAACACATTTCTGTTTGTTTTACGTTTATTTTTCATAGATCAATGGAAATACTTTTTCCTCCTGGAAAAGGCCAGTTTCAGCTGATTTCCTTCAGTCTAGTAAATATTTTAATGAATCTGATTAAACACACGAAAGCCAGAAAAAAATATTAAGAAAGTTGAATATTTAAACGGTGATTGTAATAAATACACATGAATAAACATAAATTTAAAAATTACATAAGTATTCAAATTGTTATTTATTTTCCCTAAAAATCAGACAATTGACATTACGATGTTTCTGATTGCTTTAAAATAGTTATAGTACCTTAATATTTTTGCTAAATCATAGGACTAATAAATAATAAAGTTAATGTAAGTCAAATTATAAGAATTAAAATAATATAAGACATTAAAACTTTCATTATCAATTTTCTCGAAACTCTATTTTACAAAATACGCCCTTGTTGCACCCAATGCTTCAATTGTTGTCGGGATTCTAATCCAGGACGATCAGCCTGCGTTCACAAAATTTTTAACCCATATACCTACGATTTATGTATGTATCCAATTTCCGTATGACTTCTCAGACAGCCACTTGGAATTTCTTACAAAATTCCTCAAACTTCCAAATTAATATATCTCGAAGCAAACATTAACATACCGTCTGCGAGTATTTCTCTTATTTTCACTATCAGAATTTAGATTTAACTAGACATTATAAGAGCTTAACTGACCGACATTTAATTTGAACTCTGTATTGCTATAAATTAGGTCGTCTTTAAACATTTTCGGTTACTTATGCAACAATTTCAGTTGATTTCATAAATTAAACTTAGATTTTGTATGGTCTGGCTCTTTGTTAATAAATGAGCTTTATGAGTACATTATATGGTGGTTTTTTTCTGTATGTATATTGTATACTTTTGTAACTATTGTTACAGTATGCAAAGTTTAAGTATTATATAATTCGCAAATTTAAACAAATTTTATAAGTTTTTCCTCAACTGCAGTTTTTTCCCGTAATCGTATTGAAGCAGATATATTTACGCCTTTCATTATAAAAGCTATTAGCTTTCAATGTTTTGCTGGGAGTCGATCCTGGGTCTCCGTGGTTGGCAAGAGGTATATAAAATAAGTTTCAAAAAATACTTTTAAACATTCATGTAGGTCAATATTTTTCTACAAATTAATTCCTTTGCTCGATTTAAGATTAAACTTGCAAAATATAAAGCTCGCTTTTCTTTGAATACAGATTTACCTTAATCGATAAGGTGCTGTAGAAATGAAGTAATATAACAATACACTTTATTCCAATGTGCGAAAGTTGATATTGCAAAATCGCTCCCATTACAATATTTGATCAATGCGGGACCGTTTTACTATTACCCTGAACAATGAAAAGGTAACCAAAGTGCTGTACCTGAACTATTTTTTATAATTATTTACACTCGACATATTCTATCCAGCTCTCTTTCTCCCTTGGGAATGTCTAATTCATGGGTAAAAATCTGTCTAAATACTAGAATATTTTACAATAATTTAGAAACCAAAATTGTCTTAAAAATAACATGTCTACTGTTAATAAATATAAATGCCGTTATCGAATCATATAAAAGATCGGAGCTAAGTCTTTATGTACCAGTATATTTTAACCTGGATTTCCTAGCACCATAATTTCCTGTATTATAAACTAAAGTGAGTGTCTTTTAAACTGTTCCGAAAGGCCAGTGTAAGTTGAACTCAATTGTTGCCTAGCGGATATCTCTTCAAGGGTTCTACGTAAAACAGTCGGTTTTAGGAATGTAAGGTGATTTCAGGCTTCAGCTTTCAGTCTCGCGTTGAACGCGATACGGTACGCGCGTACGTTGCGGAGTTTTAGTTAAATATTGTGAGTTTATATTAAAACGTGGCTGTCTATTAAATATATCTAAATGCTAATGTATATGATGTTGATAGATTCTTTGAAAATCTTACAACAAACAAGCGATGCGTTGATTATCCTAGGGATGTCGTATTTTATCGTAATTTTGAATTTAAATTTATATTTTAGAAAAATTATATTTGACAGAGTAATCTAATTGACTAGATTTGTAACTATTTATCTATTATTACTATAGTATAGTAGCGATATTCTAACATATTGACGTATTATTAAATAATATCCAAAAACATATTATTAGTTATAAATAATAATCCTTTTTTACAAGCTAAAATTTAATGCTGATCTCTCTTATCTATCTAATTTTTTATGTAACAAAACGGGAAGGAGGCTCATCTGATGTTAAGTGATGCCTATGGACATTTACATTGCCACAAGGCTCGCAAGTGCGTTGCCGACCTAAAATCTATTATCGAGGCCACACATTAGTTCTAGTGTGTAACTTGTTTCTTTTTTCGTATGTGTATAAGTTGTAGTGCGGCTATAAATATGTATGATATTCGATATTTTCACTGCATGTGCTAGGTCCCTGATATCGATAGTGTACATCACTAGCACGCCTCGCTAAAACAATAGCCTCGGTACACAATAGGGACGTTGAGCGTTGTTTTTATTTAACACTATACAAAGTGTAATACAATGTATCTAATATGAAATAGTAATTATGAATATAAAGCAATTAATTTCTCTTTAATTGCTTAATTTCGTATAGATAATATGAATTCATGCCCTAATTTTCGTTTTATAAAGAATTACTTTGCTTTTACAAGTGTTTCACATTTTGTCTTTACTAGGTTAAAAAATATTGATTTCTGATTTTTAAATTCACCAAACGTTCGCATGTTAACGTTTTTTACTATTTAAAATATTTCTTTCAAATGTGTGATATTTAGAAGATTAGAACAGTCGTAATATTTGCATTTATCTCATTGTATTGTCCTGCGCCAGCTACATTGATTTGCTTCAACCGTGCGGTTTCCGCGTCTGCACCTGATAAGCGCTGTGGGAAAGCTTTGTGAAACTTCCGATTGAAACTATGCTTTGAAACACTGTTTTGCGAACTAAAATGATATTTATAGTAAATTACATTTGCATATTACTGCTATTTAGTACCTGCTTATTTATAATTGCGTAAAAAAGATCGTACGTACTTGTTACGATACTAAGATAGCTTGCCTTCTCGTTAGTGAGATGAGGTTTTTAGTAGCGTAGTATTACAAAATTCCTTTTTTTTTAATGAGAGATTTTTCCTATTACATCCGTATGGAGTTTTCGTTATCCGTCAGTATAGACGTGGTGTTAAATGTCAAAAATCAGATCCTTAAAACATTATTTATGAAAGGGAATAGAGCTTAGAGCGATTCGAAAATCCAAGAGCGGTTTTTCACGTCTCAAATGAAGTAATTTGGTAAAACGCAATGGTCGCGCGGTGCGCTATGCAGTGACGCCCTGGATTACTGCCAGGAGATTTACTTTGGTATAATTTAGAGGCTTGTGATGATGCGTTGGCGGAGATTGTTTACATTTTCGTATTCTGACTACGTGGAAGGACAGAATTGGAATTAAGTAATTTTCAAATTTGGAATACACACATTGGAGTTGAGCCATTTATCAAAAGAGTTATTCTTACCTTAAAGTTCTCTGTCAGTCTAAAGTTCCGATTGAATACCCTTACCACCTTCTAACCTTATTATACATCTACCAAATATTTGTCATATTTCAATTCCTAAGTGTATTTATTATTGTAATGTAAGTGGATAGACAGAAAAATCGTAACCAATTTAAATTCCACCAAACGTCAAATGATGTATTTAATTTGTTTTTAAATAAATAAAACCTTAATATAACCCAAAAATATACTGGTATATAGTCGTCATGTGCCAAATTCCAAATAAGGATATTTGATTTTCAAAAGACTCAAAAACTTTAGTAAAAATATTGATATATTTTACAACAATCTACCTAGTTACCGTATTTTTTTGTATTTCGTTCGCCTAATGAGGTTTAAATTTATGTTCTAATATAATTGATGTATGTAAAAATTGCGACGGCATATTTTCTTGTAAATAAAAAAAATCGCCACTCGCTTACCGTGTGAGCCTTTAAAGTGTAATTTATAGCCAGTCCACTTGTATCGGCTTTATGAGTATGGGCGCCGTTCGATTGCGACGGAATTCGGGAAATATGTGATTCTCTTAATTTGTGTATATTGTTCCGGTCGTTTACCTTTACGACATATAAATAGGTTTTAAAGTGTGCTTTTTTTTTTAAATAACTAAAACGATTTAAAGACATTGTCGACCGTACTTAATGTTTCAATGTCTCTGAAACTACTTACTTAAAAATAATTAAGAGCTTGAAGTTGACTGTGCCTCTGAGACAAATATGACACTCCCCTTCTGGCCTCACTATGTCCATCAGTTATGTAATAAAATCTTACTTAATTTTGTTGGAAATTTACTTAAATTTTTTGTTATATTTCATAAAAGAATGAGCAATATCAAACTCGTAGCTGAAGAGTATTATTAATCGTAAAAAATAATAATAGTAAACTATTTATTTCGCTTCAATGATTCTTATAAATTAAATTAAAAATAACGTAAAACGAGACTGTTTCTTGCAAATAGAAATTATCTAGCAACAATAACAAAAAAATTTTTTCATCCTGTTT